CTTTATTTTGCCAATGCAATTTCTGGACGAGTTTTTGGGAAAATATTATCATTCTTTGTAGCATTATCTGCTTTTGGTACCTTGGGATCATTAATTTGGAGGTTTGAACCTTTACATTTCACATATCCTAATATCTTCAGCATTATATACGCAAAAAACATATATATTTAATTTTGTTTATTAGTGGTTCTCGTGTCATTGTCACTGCTGGTTATAGAAGTTATTTTCCGGTGTTTTCTGACAAACTTCAAAAAATTAGTAAACGTGAAACTCCCATGAATGCTTTATTATTCCAATTTATTTTGGGCGCAATTGTGATAATATTAATAGGTGGTGCCCATCGCAATTCATTTCAGGTTTTGTATTCAATGGCGCAATATGCTTCATGGTTTTTCTATGGTCTTATAGGTATAGGATTAATTGTAAGTATGTTTAACAAATATTTGTATTTTTATATTTTTGAAAAATGCTTCATTTCTAATATATATTTATTTTATCAAAAGCGCATTCGATATTGTATAAATAACGAAAGTGGATTTTGGTGGTGGATCATAATTTTCATATACATCGCCTGTTCTCTGTACATCACTGTAGTTTCATTCGTGGGGACTAGTGATTTAAATAATGATTGTTCCATTCCAAGAGTCGGCTATTATTTACCAAATGGGATTAGCCTTGGATTTTTAGTTATTGGGTTTATAACTTGGTTAACTCTTTATAACTCAAACCCAAACCCAAATCTAAATCCAAACTCAAATCCAAATCCAAACCCAAATCCAAACCCAAATCCAAACCCAAGAGAAATAGAGCTAGGACTCGGTGAAGGTCTAATAATAATATAATAGTAATAGAATCATAAAATTTTTTATTAAATTTAATTATTATTTCAAAATTTTTTTTTCATTTAATTTGATAAAAAAAAAACATAATGATTCCCTACCCTGAGCATTAATCTATGCTTTAAAAACAGATATGATAATTTTTTTTTGGTACTCTTGCACATTTCACGTGGTTCAAAAACTTTTCAATTCCAAAAAACGTTATTTTTGATTTTCAGTAAAAATATATAATAGGAACAACAAACTTCGATAGTATTATCTCACTAATTTTAAATCCAAGTTATTTTTAAGTTTACAAGTTTGCATAAATAAAAATATGCGTTTACACCTTCAAAATATTAATAAGATATCAAATTTATTTAAAAAATTTCTTTGAAACATGATTCTGCTGGGAAATTTTTTTTTAAAAGAAATCAAAGTATGATACATTTCAAATGTATATTTGCATTATTTCAAAATGTGTAAAAAATAGAATTTTCGTTTCACAAAACGAGAGATACTCGAAATTATTCATGAATCGAAACCTTAACGCAACTAAATCTAATTCATGATGCAACTAAATATAATTTACGATGCAAAAGTGCAGTGGAAATAAAAAAAACATTGATAAGTTTATTAAAAATACGTTTATGGAATTATTTATAGGCTCCATTTTAAAATTTACACATAAATATAGGTAATAATTATTTTAAAAAATTCCCAATTTCTTTATTTTAAAAATGTATCTATAGAAGCAAACTATATATCAATTCAAAATAATAACAATAATAATATGCATATAATTAAAATGTTATGAAGAACAAGACTAAAAATTTTGCATCTATTTTAAAGATTTAATATAGAATAGAAAATATTTTATTATTAGAATTTAGTATACCATTGAGAACAATTATTTAAATGACGTGATTACATCCGAATATAGTCAATATTGAAATGCGTGCGACAAATATTAATTATTTTCTAACAGCGAAAATTAAAAATCTGTCACTAAAGTTTAGCACAATGAACACATAATTCTGTTCTAAACAAACTCTTTATTTACAATGAGTGGCATTTATAATGAATTTCTTTCTGTCTTGTATATACCACAATATTTTATAAAATTTTTAATAAGCAATAATTTTTTTTAATAAACACCAACTTTCCATTTTCCCTCTATTTTTTTTTGCCCACTTTATTATAATTTTTAATTTAAAAATGGCTCATAGATTAAAATTATCCAGCGGGATATGCTGGAATGTAAATAATATGATCGGGTCGGGTTTGTGATTTTCTTCCTTTTTTTTCCAAATTTTTTAATTTCAATTGTTATACAATATAAATATAAGTGTATAAATAATTAATAGGAATCTTCATTACTCCCGCGATTGTATGGAGGGC